TTAGAATTATTTCATCTTGAAATCCCCAGCAGCCGTTGGTTGAGTCTTGATTTTACTGGGTGATTTTTATTTATATGAAGCTGTACAATGCATTGCTTCAGACAGCATTCAAATAGTTAGCTGTTAGCATACGTTTTTGCTTTTTGTTATGTCATATATTTAAAATAATTGTATTTTTTTTGTCTTTCCAATTTCAGGTGTGTGTTTATACTGACAAGCTGTTGGTTACCTGCAAGACACTGATTCAATGCATTCCTAAATGAAACAAAATCTTCAAATCACAATCACTAGTGTTTGTTTTTTTTCTGTTGTTTTAGTGTTCTTAATTTTTTTTATTTATTCTTGATTATTTTGCATAATGGATAAAAAGTGTTAATGAAAGTAATTGTATTGATTTTTGGATCTTCAGATCATATAATCTTGCAGAGTAATGCTGTAACTATTGTATTTTCACACTTCTCATAATTCATTGTTATCCAAAGGTAACAAGAAACATGATTAGAAATAATAAAAGTGTTACCAATACCTTTAGTGATATTTATGTTGTATTTATACTTGTAACGAATTATGAAAGTGATATTTAACAATAAAAATTAAAAGCGTATAAAAGCTTTTTTTATTTGTCATTGAAATATAAGTTGTAATAAAGTATTTTAGCTGATGTTACAATTACATAAATGTGCCATGCAAAAGCAAGCCACATTAACCATTTTGTTTGAGTAAGTAGTAAAGCAGAAGGTATCACTGTTTTGGTCATAGAATGAAATTTTGTAACTATAAAAATAAATGAAATAAATACTTTTAAACACAGTCTACATGGATAATTCTTGCAGTTGTATTTTTCAGAAATTGCATGAAATATATTGATGCCTTTATCTAAAATATTATGATTGAAAATGTGTTGTTGTTTTGTTTTTAAATTGTTGATTTAAGATTTATTTATTTGCCATAAGACAGACCTAACATTACATCTTCAAATGCTTTGGAAGAAAGTTATGTTCTGGGAAACACGCATTTCCCATCTATATGATGAGAATTTAAGGGTGCAATAATCATTACCCTGCCTGCTATTTAATAATTTTTGTGTATATTTTATATTACTTTAATGCAAGGTTTCATGTAAAACTTCAAATACATGACATAAAAAAAACATTATCTATTGGTTAAAGTAAGGTTTGGTTACATAATAAGCTATTGTTTGTTTTTTATTCTGTTTTTCTTATTTTTTATGTAAGGTTGTTATTCTATTTGTATAGATATTTGAACTGCATGATTGAATCATACTCAAAATAAACATTTATAAGGTTCTAAAGTCAAAGAAGACCTAGTGGTTAGGGCTCTTGACACCAGACTTTGGGTCATAGATATGAATCCCAGTGTTGAACATGCTCATCTTACACTGCTAAATTAGGGATGGCTAGTGCAGATAGCCCTCGTGTAGCTTTGCGCGAAATTCAAAAACAAACAAACAAACATTAAAAATGGCGATATTCAAAATTTGGGCAATTCTCAAAATAATTTTTAAATCGGAATAAAAGATATTAGTTATGTAAGTTTATTCAAGTCAGTTTGGGAAATAAAAATATTCTTAATTAGTCTATTAATGTTTTTGACCTCTTTTGTTCTTGATCATTATTAAATATTGTGTTATTTCACTAACTATTTACCATTTCCATAATGAGAATGTCATTATTACTGACCCAGCTATCAGTACAAGTTAATTTGGTTACTGGAAAATGAAATATTTGAGAGAACAATTGTTATTAGTAACCACTTAGTCCTTGGAATGTATTAAAGTGTGATTGATCAATTATTGAAACTCAAGTCTTTGCCCATATTTTCAGTTGTGCACTTAATTCAAAAAACATATGAATGTGATTCATGTAAAGTAAAATAAAACTAGTGTTTGCACATCATGCAGTAGTTAGAAAATATACAGTCATTTAGAGAAGCATCTATATTTTTAGATTTGTGGTTGGAATAACAGTAGATAAATACCTTAGCAATGAAGGTAGAAAAGTGTAAAGCTGAACCTTGTGAGTGACTTGTTGAATGCTTGAAATATTTTAAGAAATAATTTTCAGCCCTTTTAAAAGAATATGCGTATATATATGTATATTTTTGCAGTGTGTGTTCTATGTGTGTTGGGCAGGTACTTTTGGTTTATTTGGTAAAGAATAATACCGATTTCAGTCCATATAAAGATAATTTATTTCTTCCATAACATTTCTGAAGGCTTTGTTCACTTTGACATAAGTTGTAGTCCTAAGTTTACAATTAATGTTTCAACAGAAATTCCACTCTAATGGTACTACACTGAACTTACAAGTAAACTTAGTTGTAGAATTCCATGGCTAATTGATTAACTGAATAGATATAATAAACTCACTAATAATAATGATCTGAATCACTTACTGAATACGTCATTAACTGAACTTGATTATTACATCTTAAGGAACTTTCTAGATATTGCATCATTATCATGATTATCAGTTCCCTTTAGCAAACATTTAAATTATAATATCAAAAATGTAGCTTACAACTCTGCTCCTTTCCTGGATTGTGAAGTCCTTTGAATAATCCTAATATGTTAAACAGTACACTAATCTGTCCATTCATTAAAGTGAGGTTCATGGTATACAGATGGGATGGCTTCTTGTTCTTGCTGTCCTGTCAGTGAGGTAGTTCTCTCTAGGTAAGTGATCAAATGAATCCACTGGTGTGGTTCTATCCCTGATTATCCTTTGAAAGCAGTTTCAACAGGAATCCCGAGCTTCTCAGTAGGTTAACTTTCTGCTAGCATATTCTTTTCTAGAGTTACCCAGTTGGCCATCCTCTCCCAATAGACTTTTATGGTGGATGACCTTTGACTAGGAGTGCTTCTCAATTATTTAAACCATTACATTGATTCTTTTACACACAATGTATGGCTCTTCCCAGCCTGTACTTAACTTCAGAGTTCAACCATCCTTGCAGTGAAGATTGTGCAGCCATACCATGTATGTCATCTTGAGAATCCAGTCTCATCAGCATTAATGTCATAACAGCTTTTCATTTTATCACTAACTGATTTTAAATCTTTCCTGTGTAAAGTCATGTATGATCTAAGTTGAGTTTCTGCATATTTCTTGTAAGACTGCTGGATGATTGTCTTCTGGATGTGAGTACATGAGGTCCAATGGCACTTTAGGTTCTCTCCTAACATCAGTGATCATGTTGTGTTGCCTTTAACTTCCTCTACTGCTGTTCAATAATTCACAAGTAGTGGTGGAAGATCTTGATTCCATGTTTTCTGATATTCATCCAATAAACAGCTAATTGGTTTCAAAATATATGGTTGTATCTTTTCACCATGTCATCGGAAGATGGGTGAAGGGCTATTGTCCTGGTCTTTTTGATTCCAAGAATCTGACAAAATTCTGCAAATAAGACAGGCGAATCAAAGTTTCATCCCTGATCTGTGTGAAGTTCCATAGACACTCAAAATTGTAAACGAGTTTTCTTGCTAGAGTTTCTGCTTCCTGGTTAATAACTGCATATCCTTCTGTCAGTTTTGTGAAATGGTCCACCATAACCATGATGTATTTATTCCCACTGTTACTCTGTAGCAGATAACCAAGTACATCAACAGCAAGTCTCAAATGGTGCAACAACACAATACTGCTGTAGCTGTCCTGTTTCTTTCATGGACCCTTTTACTCATAGCACAGTTCACACATTAGACACCATTTGCAGATTCCTGGCATTCAATGCAAAACAAGTGTTCTTTTTAACACTTAAAAGTCTAACTGTTGGAAGGTTGTGGAAATGTCTGAGTGCTTTGTAATATATAGACCTGTTGTCGAATTTTTATCTTTCAGTGAATCTCATTGTGTCCAGTACATTTTTGTCTTCATGTTGTATGGAGTGGCTATGTGTTATAAGGGTTTTCTGCATTTTCTTGTTTCTTTTGCATGAGCATCTTTCATTTGAGTGTTTGACCACATTAGTTCATCATCATCAATTGTGGATCTCACATCTTGAATTATACTCTGTTGTACTTTTGGTTAGTCAATTTTACTATCTCTTTACAGTGTTTACATTCTTCATTAACACATGGTCATAAGAATAATGTATCAATGCTTCCATGGTTCCATCCAGGGCAATGTATGATGTTAAAGCTGTACTTCTGAATCTTCTGGAACCATCTTGCTATCTGGTCCTCTAGATTACAGATATTTAATAGCCACTTCAATGCTACATGATCTACCCAGAGTGTGAACTTTTTTTCCGTATAGGTAATGATGGAAATGACTTGGGGCGCAAATAACACTTGTTAGCTCTTTTGGGTTGTATCTCATTTCTGTAACATTCATTACCTTGATATAGTAGGTAATTGCATGTTCTTTTTTATGTTGTTCTTGTGATAACACTGCTTCTATTGCAAAATTACTGGTATCTGTATTTAGAATTAGTGTATCTTCAAAAGTTTGGTATTCTAATACAGAAATAGTGATGTATGTTTTTTAGCTTATTGAATGCTTGTTCACAATCAGCAGTCCAAAAAAATGATTACAGTAAGGGCATAGTCTAAGAAATCTTCTTTCCACAGACAAATTCCATCATGGTAGCCAGTTCTTAACAGATTCATTTTTAAATGGACCTGTAGACATTACTTCTGTGCTATGTGTTCCAAAAAATTACCTGTTGACAGAACAATTCACTCATCTGAGGATACAACTTAAGGTTCTCTTTCCTCCAATAATCTAGCGCTTTCCTTAGCCCATCATAAGCATTATCAAAGGTATTCCCATGTGCAATTATGTCATCCAAATGGACAAGTACGACGTCCAAGAGAAGTTGAGAGAGAGCACACACTATCAATTGTTGAAATGTAGCAGGTGCAGTACATAATTCAAATGGTAACAGAAATGTGCCACTATCCATTTCCTACAGCAAAAGCTGTCTTTTTTTTTTCTCTCTCCCTATGTGCTTCATCAATTTGTATTTGCCAATATTTACTCCTCAGGCACAACATTAAAAAACATTTTGATTCAGATAAAGCATCCAAAATAGAGTCAATCCTTGGCAGTGGGTAAGCATCATTCTTTGTGATTTCATTCACCTTCCAGTAGTCTATGCAGAATCTTGGGGATCCATCCTCCTCCTTCACAAATGTAATAGGTAATGTCCAAGATCTAATACTTAGTTTTATAACTCCCTGTTCTTTCATGGCGGCAGCATGGTCAGGTGGTTAGGGCGCTGGAATCGCAATCTGAGGGTCACAGTTTCGAATCCCCCTCATAACAAACATGCTCGCCCTTTCAGCCG